TGCTTTTTAAAAGGACTTATTCATTTGAAAGGCAGAATGACACAAAGAGAGGGAGAGGGAGAGGGAGAGAGAGACAGAGAGGCAGAGAGAGTTTTCCCTTCCAGCCTCTGGTTTGCTCCCCGAGTGCCCACAACAGTCAGGGCTGTGCCAGGCTGAGGCCTGGAGCTGAGCACTCCATCCGGCTCTCCCACGTGGGTGGCAAGGACCCAAGCCCTTGAGAGATCCTCTGCTGCCTTCCAGCTGCGTTTGGTATGAAGCTGAATCGGAAGCAGAGCAGCTGGGACTCAGACTGGGGCTCTGATGTGGGATGCTGGAGTCACAAGTACTGGCTTCATTACTGTGCCACAATGCTGACCCCTGCTTTTATTTTTATAAAATTTTATCAAACCTATACTTTCCTACAAGTGATGATATTTTTGTGCTTTTTTAAAAAAAGATTTATTTATTTATCTGAAAGTCAAAGTTACAGAGAGAAAGGTAGACATAGTGAGGTCTTCCACCTGCTGGTTCACTCCCCAGATGGCTGCAATGGCCGGGACTGAGCCAGGCCAAAGCCAGGATCCAGGAGCCAGGAGCTTTTTCCAGGTCTCCCACGTGGGTGGCAGGGGCCCAAGAACTTGGACCACCCTCTGTTACCCTTCCCAGGCCATCAGCAGGGAGCTGGATGGGAAGTGGAGCTGCAGGGACATGAACTGGCACCTTTGGGATACTGGCACTGCAGGCAGTGGCTTTATCTGCCCCTGATATTTTTGGTGTAAGTTTTTTTTTTTTTTTTTGACAGGCAGAGTTAGACAGTGAGAGAGACAGAGAGAAAGGTCTTTTTTCTGTTGGTTCACCCCTCAAATGGCTGCTACAGCCGGTGTGCTGCGCCACTCTGAAGCCAGGAGCCAGGTGCTTCTTCCTCTTGGTCTCCCATGCGGTTGCAGGGCCCAAGCACTTGGGCCATCCTTCACTGCCTTCTCGGGCCACAGCAGAGAGCTGGACTGGAAGAGGAGCAACCGGGACAGAATCTGGCGCCCTAACCGGGACTAGAACCCCGGGGTGCCGGCGCCGCAGGCGGAGGATTAGCCTAGTGAGCCGCAGCGCCGGCCCATGGTGTAGGTTGTTTTAACTGTATACATAGAAAGCACACTGTGTGTAATCTTTTCCACTCACAACACCATTGGTAAGAGTCAGTGTGTGATCCATGAGGTTTCCGAGCAGGCGAATGACAGGGACTGCTAACAATGAGGCTAATGCTCTTGGCTAAATCCTGCTCTAAGTCCATGCAGGATGTGGAGAAACCATATTTCTGGCTACCGGGCAAGCATGCTCTGAAGTTCTTGTTTATTTAGCTGGTCTTAGCCTTGTTTTATGGAACTTGGGAAAACATCTTTTTAAATGATTATAGATATGTGTAACAGTCAAGTCTTTATTTTGATGTTTGTTTCTCCAGTTTTTTTTTTAATTAAAAAAATTAGGAAGGTCTTTTAAAAGTTTTGTTTATTTGGAAAGCAGAACAAGAGGGACAAGAGCGAGAAAGAGATTTTTCCATCTGCTGGCTCTCTGTCTCCATGTCTGCGACGGCTGGAGTAGAGCTGGGCCATGTTGAAGCCAGGAGTCAGGAACTCAGTCCAGGAGTCCCGCGTGTGTGGCAGGGACCCCAGCACCTGAGCCATCACCTGCCATCTCCCAGGGTATGTAGCAACAGGAAGCTGCCTCGGGAGTGGAGATCCAGGTCCTGCAGTGTAGATGCAGCTTCGCCAGGGGCCTCTGCACCGCTGCACCGGATGCCGCCCCCAGGGTGTTTCCTAGAAGGAGTGGTTTACAAGACTTCGTTCCTGTTCAGGTGGGAGAGTGGGCTCCCGTTCAGCACTGTGGGGGAAGGTTCCAGCTCCCAGGAACATGACACAGGGGAATCAGGGTGCCTAGCGGGACTTTGTGGAAAGAATGAGATGTCTGATGCAATCTGGTCTCCTGGATTTCTGGCAGAACAGCCTTTGGCCTTCCCAGATCCACCAGATTGGCCCTTTCATGTCACATCTTAAGGTTATCCCAAGGTCATCGTGGCCCCAGGAGCCCACTCTGCTTTTGGAAAAAGAAAGCACTTCTGCTTAACCATTCAGTTCCCATGAGGTCTCTCTCTCCCTCTCTCTCTATCTCACCACACACACATCACACAACCCCCCCACATACACACGTACACACCACACACACGCACCACACATACACACACATCACACATACCACACATATACACACATCGCATACACACCACATACCACATACCACACATATGACACACACCACATATACACACATCACACACATCACACATACATATGACACACCACATACCATACACATCCACACATATACACCACACAGACCCACAACAGGCATACACACACTACATATACCATGCACACACCACACACACTAGACACTACACACCACACACCCCCCACACCCCCACCACACACACACTCACACCACACACATACACACAGCACACACATACACACCACACAGATCCACACTACACATACACCACATATAACCAGACACTACACACACCATGTATCCTCCACACCACACACACACAGCACACACACACCCCTGAATCACTGGGGTTGCTGTCTCCTAGGCTGTCTCCCCGCTTCCTTACTTGCTCCTGGACCGCCCATTCTCAGTGAAATCCCAGAGGGACCCTGTCCGAACGTCGGTCAGATGGCCTCTCCCATGGCCTCTCCTCGCTCCCAAACTCCAGAGGCTCCCAGTTCCCCTAACAGCTAAGTCCCCGGTGCACCTGCTCTGCTCTCCCTGTTGTCGGACACACAATGGGGCGCTGGCTGGGGCCTCTGTGCCCGCCTGCACTCGCAGTGCTGCCGCAGGGGCCGGGCACTGCCTCTCTGAGATCCGCACGGCTCACATCCTCTCTGCCTGCAGAGTTTGGCTGGGAGAGTGCTGAGCGATCTCACTCGATGGCCTTCACTCCGCATGGAGAGCCCTCCCAGCCTTTGTGTGCTTTTCTCTTGGAACTCATGAGTCTCCTTTGGAAGCACCGTCTGCTGTGCTCGTGAGCGTTTTCTACATGTTTCCCTTATTTTTGGTCGATCTCCCCATCTCGTTTCCCCGGGCGGCTCCCTCTGAGAATGCGTGTGTTTCCCAGGGCTTAAGCCTTTGTCCCTGGACACTTGGTATAGCCAAGGGCTCAACCATCTTTAAACATGAAGGAAGTTGTTCTCTTTGGCCCCAGCAGAGGGCTCGCTCCTCCGACCTGCTCCACAGGCTAACTGCGACAGGCACCTCTCACTTGAGTCTGTCTCCTGCTTGCTGTTACATATCCATTCCCCGGGTCTCTGTACCTGGAACACAAGGGCCCCTGGAGCCAAGGATCCTGCTGCGCCCTGCGTCTCTGCACTCCCCATGCCATGCACTCAGCACCGAGTGCCGGGAAGAGGCTTCTCCAAGCACCCAGGTGGGCTGGAGGGGGAAGGTGCCTGGGGATTGCAGCTGAGATCAGCCCGTTAAAGCAGTTTCCCAGGGAGTCTGCAGAGGGCGCTGCAATTGCTTCCCAGGTCTGGAACATAGGCTGCTGTTGGTTGCTGGGTGACCCAAGATGAACCCATGCCTTTCTGGCTCTGTGTTTAGACATTACTGCTTGGGGATACTTCCCTCCCTCCCTCCCTCCCTCCCTCTCTCCATCTCTCTTTCTTTCTTTCAAGATTTATTTTATTTCTTTGAAAGGCAGAGTTACACAGAGAGGGCAGAGGCAGAGAGAGGTCTTCCATCCAATGGTTCACTCCCCAGATGGCCACAGCGGCCGGAGCTGCACCGATCCGAAGCCAGGAGCCAGGAGCTTCCTCCTGGTTTCCCACGCAGATGCAGGGACCCAAGGACTTGGGCCATCTTCCACTGCTTTCTCAGACCATAGCAGAGAGCTGGATCAGAAGTGGAGCAGCTGGGACTTGAACCGGCTCCCATATGGGATGCCAGCACTATAGGCGGCAGTTATACCCACTTCACCACAGTGCTGGCCCTGGAATACTTTCTTTTAAAAATAAAAAGAAACATTTATTTATTTATTTTCATTGTACTTGAGAGAGAGAGCAAGCGAGAGAGAGCACAATCTATCTTCTATCTGCTGGTTCACTTCCCAAACGCCTGCTGTATCCACGGCTGGGCCTAGACCTCAGTCCAGGTCTCCCACATGGATGGCAGGGGCCCAAGACCTGAAGCCATCACCTGCTGCTTTCTGGGGTGCACATTAGTAGAAGTCAGAAGCAGAGCAGAGGAGCGGGGGCTCACACCAGGCCCTCTGATGTGGGCTGGCTTCTCAAGCAGCGTGGTAACTGCCTGCCCCTTGCAATGAACTTAAAAGGATGCATGCTGGCTTAAAGAAAATAGTGTAGGCATAGTAACACAGGTGTAATGGGCTGAACGTCTCCCCAAAGTCTTTGCTGAAGTTCTACGCTTGGAACCTCAGCGTGTGCCTAGAGAGGGACGCAGCCCTTCAGGGGTCACGGGGGGGCCTGGTCCTGTGTGACTCGTGTTCTCAGGGGTCACTGGTCCTGTGTGACTGGTGTCCTGAGAAGAGGGGGCTGGGACACACACACAGATGACGGCCCCGTGACCACGGGGAGAAGCCGGCCAGCTACACGCCAGGGGCCAAGGCGTGGAGGAGCAAGCCCTTGTGCAAGCCGCCCGTCCTCGGCGACTTGTCCGGCAGTCTGGGGAGAACCGCGCTGGGAAGGCCCTGGCTCGCCGGGACCGCACTCTGCCCGCCAGAATCCCAGCGCCCGACGGCGGCCACGCTGCCGGGGAGCCGCAAGGACTAAGGCTGGACTAAGGCGTTGCCCTCGCCCGCCACGGCTCGGTGGCCGGAGCCCGGGGCTGCGGCGCGGCCGGGAACGAGGGGACAGCCATCCTCCCCGGACTTTACGTCCAGGGACACGCGCTCCCGGACTCGAGCAGCATCCCAGCCACAGCGCCGCGGTCGGCTCCGAGCCCGCGCGGAGCACGCTCCGCCCCTTCCCCCGCCGCCCGCCCAGGCGCGCCGGCTCCCGGGGAAGGGGCGGAGCTCCCGCCCGCTCCGGGGCCACGGTTGCCACGGCAACACGGCCATACTGGGCCCAACCGACCGAGGGTGGGCCGGGGCCGGTCGGCGGGGGTCTCGTGGGCAAGGCGGCAGCATGGACAACCTCTTCGTGGAGGAGGTGGCCGCCTCCCTGGTCAGGGAGTTCCTCAGCAGAAAGGTAACGGCTGTCCTCCTCCAGCGCCGGGCACGTTTGCCGTCATTTTGGGGAGCAGCGCGGGGGCTCCCCGGAAATCTCCCTCTGAGAGAGACCCTTGCCCTGCAAGAGCACCCCCTCCCTGGCGTGGAGGAAACTACACTTCCCAGGAGCCCTTTCTGGCGCCCGCGCCTCGGCGGCACCCCCACCCCCTACCCCAGTCCTGGCGTGGGCGCTCTGGGCGCGTCGGCCCCGGTGCGGCGTGGCCGGGCCCGATCGCCTCCAAGCCGTGAGTCCCGCCCGGGAAGTTCTCCACGATCCAACCCGCCAGCCCTTCTACTCAGCAGGGGGATCGCGCCTGTGGCCTTACTGTCCTGACCTGGGAGGGGGCCGAGTGTTCAGGGGTCGTCATCTGTGGGGCCCTCGGCTCCCACCTGCGCTGACGGTGGCCGTGGGGACGTGGTTGCCGACGGTGTTCCCTGGGGGTTCTGGGCACGGGAGCGCGCACATGTGCGTGTGCGCGGGGTCCGTTCATTTCTTTTTTTTTTTTTTTTTTTTTTTTTTTTTTTTTATTTTTTGACAGGCAGAGTGGACAGTGAGAGAGAGAGAAAGGTCTTCCTTTGCCGTTGGTTCACCCTCCAATAGCTGCCGCCGCCGGCGCGCTGCGGCCGGCGCACCGCACTGATGCGATGGCAGGAACCAGGAGCCAGGTGCTTTTCCTGGTCTCCCATGGGGTGCAGGGCCCAAGTACCTGGGGCATCCTCCACTGCACTCCCTGGGCACAGCAGAGAGCTGGGCTGGAAGATGGGCAACCGGGACAGAATCCGGGACCCAACCGGGACTAGTAGCCCGTGTACCGCACTGCTAGCGGAGGATTAGCTGTGAGCGGCGGCGCCGCCCGTGATTTCTTATAACCGAAGACAGAGGCTGGACACATGGGAGTTAGGATTTCAGTCTACGTCGCTTAGGCTGCATGGTTTTGGACGGAAAAAAGTCAGACTTGAGCTGGTGGAGGGAGTTCACGTATTTGCCACTGCTTTGAAGTGTTTGAGCCTGAGTATTGTAACTGCCTCAGTGTTCTGTAAAACAGGAAAGACGAGACCCCCCATTCCCCCGTGTATAACAGGGGTTATTAGAACTATGTAGCCAGTTCCGAAGCAGGGCGCCTGGTGCACAGATACAAGGTGCATGTGGGCTTGGGCCCTGTACCTCACCCCCCCCCCCCCCCCCCTACGTGGCTGCTGGGGACAATATTTTTGAAAGGGCCTCATGGGGCTTTTCTTCTTTCTTTTTTTTTTTTTAAGATTTATTTATTTATTTGTTTGAGAGGCAGAGTTACAGAGGCAGAGAGAGAGGTCTTCCATCTGCTGGTTCGCTCCCCAGGTGCCTGCAATGCCCGGAACTGTGCCGATCTGAAGGCAGGAGCCAGTTCTTCTGGGTCTCCCACGTGGGTGCAGGGACCCAAGGACTTGGGCCATCTTCTCCAGGCCTTAGCAGAGAGCTGGATCAGGAGTGGAGCAGCCGGGACTTGAACCAGTGCCCACATGGGATGCTGGCACTGCAGGCAGCAGCTTTACCTGCTATGCCACAGTGCCAACCCCTTCGTGTGCTTTTAATGATTTGTTTGAAAGCTTTTCCCTGCATTTGGCTTTCTTTTGGTGCGTCATCGGCTTTCCCTCCGAGTCCTCGTTGTGTGTGGGGTAACCACGACATGCCCTGGGGAGCCGACCCCCGTCATCGTTTCTCATGTGTCTGGGCCGCCGGGTGAGTCTCTCTAGGGTTTCCTCATGCGCTCTGTCATAAGTACAGGTGAAATCATGGGCGCCCCAAGGTGCCCACTCCTTGCCCTGCTCTGTCCAGTCTGCCCCAGGTCCCATTTCTTGCTGAAACTCCAGGTGACTCCGTTGCGGGGCTGAGTCATCTGTAGTTTGTTCATTCATTGGTGCTTATGTTACACTGGCTGTGCACGTGTGCCTGTCTTACCCCCCTAGCAGGGTCGCAGAGCTGACCCCTGAGCCGGGCGGAACCTCGGCGGTCCTCTAGATCCCCCGGCCTCCTCGCCCGTCCGTGTTTTGTCTGGTCACACCGGGGCCTGGTGAGTCAAGAGGAGCCGTGCCCTGTCACTCAGGAAGCCACAGACAGCTGTGGCTGCAGCCCAGGGCTACTGCTTTGCTCATCGCCTTCTGCTGCCAGCGGGCATAACCCAGAATCATAACCCACAGCGGTGCCAGCTGCCTTCTAGGTGCTGTCGTCTCCTTACATCCTGGCAGCAGTCCTGAAAGACAGGTGTACTTATAGTGCTCTCTCTCTCTCGCCAGCCTGCTGAGCCCAGGAGGCCAGGCCGTGTCCCTCCCCCGCAGTGCACTCCCCTGGCCTCCCCTCGTCCTGAGACCACAGGGCTCTCAGGGACCTGACAAGGAGCTTTGAGGTGTGACGAGACAGAAGACAGGAACAACCAGCATTCGAGAGGGAATGGGTGGGCATCCCGGAGGGGGTGCCCAGGGGTCATCCAGGAGGTGGTGCGGCTCCCCAGTCCCACCCAGCTCTGCGGGTGCAGGCCCGGGGTCGGCCGAGTAGAACGTTACCAGTCTGCAGAGCGTGACAAAGACAGGCAGGGCAGTTCTACGGAGATGGCAATCACAGCAACGAGTGGCTAGGACGTGGGGAGGGTACCAAGGGCGAGGGGCTGCGCAGGCTCGGCGAGAACAACGGCACCTGGAGGCCAGGCAAGCTGAACAGACTACACGACACCACGGAGGGGGATGCGCTGGCAAGGAGGGCGAGTGGATGCTGGGAACTCTGCCCCGGCCACGGCAAGGGATGGCGGAGGGAGGCCGAGCCCAGGTCCCTGCAGGAACTGGGGACTCAAGAGGCTGCAGTGGGCCCTACATTCATTCTCAGGCATCTCAGCCAGTCTGGGGGTTCCAGCGCCGCGTGTGTGCTGACAATTCCAAGAATCTGCCTCTCTCTGAGACCCTCCCTGAGCTCTTGAAACCCTGGCCGGCTGCCTGTTGTGCCTGTCCACGTGGGTCTCTACTAAGCCTCCCAACTTAATATATTTCCGATGGTGCACCTTCTGGGATCCTGCATGGCCTCAGGCTCCTCACTCTCAGTCCCCAGATGCCCCTGAGCCTGGATTCCAGCGTGCTCTGCAGCCACATGTGCCCCAGATGCCTCAAGAGTCCGAGAGATGAACTCCATCTCCTTTGCGTTTGACTTAGGCCCTACCCTGGGCACCACTGCTATTCTGTAGAAGATGACCCCAAATCTTGTAACTTGGAGTGCTCGTGTCCCCTGCGATTGCCTGCACTGCCCTCTGAGTGGGGGTCCTTGTCTTTGTCTTCAAATATGTCCCATGTTCCTGCTCCTCTTTATGTCTCTGCCTTGAAGTCCTTCATGCTTGGAGGCAAGAGCCTGAGTCGAGTCCAGCTGGGGAGGGGCGTCTCTCTCCCCATCAGCAGGTCCATGGTGCACGTTTGCTGAGTGAACCAAGATGATGTAGGCTGGGTGGGATTGCGGACTGGTTGACTTCCGAGGCATCCTTGTCCCCTACCCATATGGTTAGAACTGACAGACACAGAGAATAGTCCACGCCACTTTGATTGGTGGGCCAGCTGTGGTCAGGCCCAGAGGAAATGCTGCTGGCTACTTTTGAGCTTCCTTTCTTCCAACTGACTTTATTTATTTTATTTATTTATTTATTTATTTATTTATTTATTTTGACAGGCAGAGTGGACAGTGAGAGACAGAGACAGAGAGAAAGGTCTTCCTTTGCCGTTGGTTCACCCTCCAATGGCCGCCGCACCGCACTGATGTGAAGGCAGGAGCCAGATGCTTCTCCTGGTCTCCCATGGGGCGCAGGGCCCAAGTACTTGGGCCATCCTCCACTGCATTCCCTGGCCACAGCAGAGAGCTGGCCTGGAAGAGGGGCAACCAGGACAGAATCCGGCGCCCCAACCGGGACTAGAACCCGGTGTGCCGGCACTGCTAGGCGGAGGATTAGCCTAGTGAGCCGTGGTGCCGGCTCGACTGACTTTAACTTCTGTACCTGATCCGGCCTCCTCCAACACACAGACCTGTTTCTCTCTGTTCCCTGACCTAAGGCCCTCTTCATACTCTGTCTGCTTCAAGGCTATGTTCGTAGCTGTTGATTCCCAAACTTGACCTCTCTTCAAGGCAGGTAGCAGGTTTTCTTGTTCTCCCAGCAGTTAGTGCCTCCATCAAACTTGGTGCAGGGCGAGGCCTGCCTGGCACTGGAGTATGGTCCCCTGCAGGAGCAAGGGAAGCCCTTCCTGCAGGCTGAGCTCTCATCCTCAGGCCGTCCCGTGGTCATGATGGCCTGGAGGCGCTGGGCCACAGCTACTGGGGTTATTTTCCAGCGAAGAAGCCAGGTTCCTGGGGGAGTAGGGAGCGGGGCCTCGCTGGATTCCCATGGCAGAGATCTTGGTCTTCTGGGAATCAAAGGTGCGATGATGGAAAGCAGCCTCGCTGGCGACTCAGCAAGGGTTGACCAGGTGCCTCCCACAGGCCTGGGTGCCGAGTCACAGGCTCCGGCTCGGGTGCTCAGGACCCCAGCTCCTGATGCCGCCGTGCTGCCCCGGACGAACCATCCCTGTCTCCTGGATCTCCTGTTTCAGCAACGAATTGCATGGATAGTGGCCTTTTGTTTATGTCTTTTCTTTTGTTTCTTTTTAAAGCATCATATTCTGTGGCCCTCAATCTAGGGCCAGATCTGGGGCTCCTGAGCTAACCTGGGGGAGTGGGTTCCTGGATTTCACTCCAGTCTATACAATATGCCAACAGCTGCTTTAGCTTCACTCACAGGGCTTTCATTAGAATCAGAATAGTTGTGAAGGTGATGTCGGTTCTCAAGGTTGCACAAAAATGAATTCTGCAGTCATTTTTGGTCCTCGAAGCAGCCTTGTGAGGAAGGCAGTGTGGGGATGATTTTAATGAACCCCAGGTGTCTGCCATTCTCGCTGTGCGTCACAGAAGGGGAGGCTTGGATTTAAGGTGGAAAGCAGTGGCTCAGAGTTCTCCCCACAGGGCTTAAAGAAGACGTGCGTGACCATGGACCAGGAGCGCCCGCGCTCAGATCTCAGCATCAACAGCAGGAACGACCTTCGCAAGGTTCTGCACCTCGAGTTCCTCTGCAAGGAGAACAAGGTGTGTGCTCTGTGTGGTGTGGCATGCAGCTCTGGAGTGCCCAAGCACTCACGGGCCCTGCCGATGGTGAGGGGAGTCTGGGGAACCCCTTGCCTGTCCCCCACACCTGTAGTTGGGGGAGGGCTGACCGATCCCGTGGACAAGTGGCTGGTGTGCGGCCGCCAGCAGCGCGTGGTGCTGCCTGTGGGAGCACTGTGTGTGCTGCGGTTGAACCCGAGCCTGGAGCTGTGCTTAGCCTCCCGCAGTCACTCCGTGTGCTCCCTCCTCCCCACCCAAGGCTGTATATTTCATAAGACTGGACTTAAGAATATCGTATTCAGTTATACTAAAGTTTTCCATTCCTGCCTGCTTAATATTTTCCTTCTGCAGTCTGAGTAATGCTTTAGTCTCAAGTCTGCTGCGACATGCAGAAGTGGGGGTTGAGTTCACCTGAGCCAGGTGGGTGGGAGCCGGCGGAGCTGCACCGCCTGGGTGCAGAGGGGGCTCTGTGCCCTGAGGGACTTGCATGGCCCCCTGTGGTTTCCCCTTTTTCCGTGCTTGGCACATTTGTAATGGAGTATTCGCCTGCTTGTGTACTTGGTACTGCCTCCCCCATGGTCCTGGACTCGGCCGAGGGCTAGGGAACATGTCTTTGTGCTGACTCATGCCATAGTGGACAGTCAGCATCTGTTTGTGGACTCTGAGTGGATGGCTGGGTCTGTGAATGTATGAATGGGTGAAGCTGTGCTTCTGACTTAGCCATTCTTTCCCTCGTGAGGACACAGTGCCCAGGTTGGAGCCTGGCCCCTGCAGCAAACGTTGCCTTGTGGTTGGGCCCAGTAGCAGTCAGAGGGAAGCCGATGATCCATCATGCAGTTCAGCATTTATCAGTTTTAGGATGACAGCTCCTGCAGAAGTCTGATGTGTCAGCCAAAGACGGGGAGCCGTCCTGCTGCAGGTGGGCGAGAGGAGTGCCAGCCCCTCAGGCTTGGGTGGAGCAGCTGTCATCCGTCCACCCAGTGAGACTCCCCACCCCTCCAGGAGGCGCTGTGAGCCAGTGGAATGCAGGCCTCACTGTCTTTACCAGGAGGGATGAGGCGGGAACCAGGCATCTGCGTCCCACCTTAGAGTACTTGTGGTGCTGTAGTAGTTTTCTTACTGTGGTAACGGTGGCCTAGCTTATTTTAGCTGTGACTCTATTTAACCTTGATCCTAGCAGGCTGGGCTGAAATGTATAGCTATCATAGGGGGAGACCCAGGCCAGACTTCCCTCCAGGAAGTGAAGCACGGAATTCTAACCAAACCTACAGATCGAAAGCAGCTGGTGCCCAATCCTCTGAGGAGAGAAAGGTCATGGCGGGGACAGGCGTTTGGCATGGCGGTTAGGATGCCACTTGCCCTGTCTGTGCCTGGGTTCGACTCTGGACTCTGCTTCCTGCTAATGTGCACGCTGGATGACTGGTAATGACTCAAGTACTTGGATCCCTGCTGCCCAGGGGGGTGATCCAGGTTGAGTTTCCAGCTTCTGGCTTTGGCCTGGCCCAGTCCTGGCTGTTGTGGCCATTTGAGAAGTGAGCTGGTGAAGGGAAGATTTCTCTCCGTCTCTTGGTCTCTCTCTGTCTCTTTGCCTTTCAATAAATGTAGATAAGTAAAATTGAAAATAAAGAAGGAGAACAGCATGGCAGTCCAGTGAAGCCATTACAGAGGCTGAGTGAATGGGCCAGGCAGGCGGCCTCTGTCCTCCGGTGCTGTGTGCACTCAGCTGAAGCCCGGAGAAGGAGGACTGTGCTCCAGGAGCAGGCCTCTGCCTGCGTCTCACGCAGGAGAGGGGGCCATGAATCTTAGGAAGATCTTGCACAGAGAATGAGACTGTTACACAGAATTTTCTGGTACATTGGGATTTTTATGCAAATGCAACATCACTCAATTTCCGAGAAGTTTCTTTGCCATTTAAGATTTTTTTAAAGGATTTTATTTATTTATTTGAGACGTAGAGCCACAGACAGAGAGAGGGAGAGACAGAGAGAGGTCTTCCATCTGCTGTTTCACTCCTCCACATGGCTGCAATGGCCGGAGCTGAGCCAATCCAAACTCAGGAGTCAGGAGCTTCTTCTGGGTTTCCCATGTGTGTGCAAGGGCCCAAGTGCTTGGACCATCTACTGCTGCTTTCCCAGGCACATTAGTAGGGAGCTGGGTTGAAAGTGGAGCAACCAGGACACCAACCTGTGTCCATGTGGGATGCTGGCACCACAGGTGGAGGAGGCTTAGCCTACTATGCCATGGGGCCAGCCCCCGTTCAAGTTATTTTTATTTCCTCACCGTCATATAGCCCTCCTCAGGTAACTGTTATCTTCATATCTTAAGACATTTCATTAGATTTTGCTAAGTACCCTGATTTTTTGATTTATAGTTATTAGCTGTTATACAATGAATTGAAGCCTGTGTTTTCCAGAAAGAAGTACTTATCAGTCTGCCTATTACATAATAAATTTCACATTCACTCAGCACAAAACTAGGATGATTCTAGGCAAGCCTTGTAAATTAATGTTAATATTTCTGATAACTTGTTTTTCCCTGTTAGGCATATGATAGATAAAAATGCTTCTGTAAAATTGAATTTGTTAAAAATGTTTTGTTTTTCTTTTCTTTTTAAATTTGGAGGGTAGATACAAACACACACACAGTTAGATATTTTCCATCAGGTGGTTCACTCCCCAAATGCCTGCAATAGCCTGGGTTGGCCGGGTTGAAGCCAGGAGCCAGGAACTCCACCTGGGTCTCCCATGTGAGTGGCAGTACTTGGGCCCTCATCTGCTGCCTTCCCAGGTGCGTTAGCAGGAGGTTGGATTGGAAACAGAGTTGGGACTGAGCCCAGGCACTCTGATGGGGGATTCAGGTGTCCCAAGCAGCACTTAACCCACTGTACCACAGCACCTGCCTGAGTTCCTGTTGCATTTTATTATAACTGTCCATAGATTGCCTGGCCCATGCATTGGTTGTTAGTTTTTTTAGGGTAGAGATTTTGTCTTCATCTCTGTGTCCTTACCCAACGCAGCACCTGGCAAGTATGAATAAGTGGGAAGATGATAGCTGTGTGCCGCACGACGGGACTGTCTGTCTGTCCCACCCTTTCCCCGAAGCTCCACGTACGATTAATGATCGCTTTTCCTCCCAATGATAGGCGAAGGAAAATCCGCTGAAAACAAACCTTGAACTTATCACCAGGTACTTTCTGGATTATGTTGGAAATGCTGCTAATAGTTTAACTCAGGAGACTCCAATCCCTGCACTCTCACTTCCCAAGAAGAATAACAAGTTGTCAGCGAGACGCCCCGAGACCATGCTGGTCAATATATACGACCTTTCAGAAGAGGACCTGGGCAGGAGGAGCTTGCTGTCTGAAGCAAGCCACGTCAGGTATTGTTTCCCCTTTCCTCTGTGCTGGCTTCCTGTAGCTGCTGGGCCACGTTCCTGTGAACTTGAACTTGGCCACTGTATCAGTCTGTGTTCTCCTGAGAAGCAGGACCAGCGGGATATCTGTGTGTTCATGAGGCTGCTTCAGAAGATTCATGGGAAAATGAAATTAAAAGATAAGTTTATTTTGTTGTAAAACATTTGAAATCCATGCATAGTTTATTCCCAGTGTGCATTTTCCATGGACTTTTTGAAGACCTCTTGAATACATACGTGTATATATAAAAAGGCTCGTTTAAGGAGTTGACTCGTGTGATTGTGGGGGGAATGGACAGGTCTATAAAATCTGCTCTGTAGTGCAGACAGAAGGGTGAAAACTCAGGATTTCCGTGTCACAATCTTGAGGAAGAATTTTTTCTTCTTAGGGAACGTTGGGCCCACTCACATTGTTGAGGGGAACTTGCTTTTCCTGAGGTCAACTCATTTTTACAATGCCCACCACATGTTTCCCATCCGAAAGTGGAGGAAAGCAACCCCTGGCAAGAGAGTATTGCTTCCAGCTCTGCTGGCCGGCGTGTGCTTTCCTGAGGACAGGCAGGCTCCGAGGTGGGTGTCAGCCTGGCGACAGGCAGGCTCCGAGGTGGGTGTCAGCTGCCAAAGGCTGCATACATTAGACAGGTCACTCGGGGCTGGGCGTTTGGCATGGAAATTAAGCCAGTGCTTGAGATGCCCACATTCCATATCAGAGTCCCTGGGTTTGAGACCCAGCCTCTGTCTGCACTCCAGCTTCCTGCTAATGCACGCCCTGGGAGGCAGCAGTGATGGCTCAAATAGTTGAGTCCCTGTCGCCCACATGGGAGACCTGGATTGAGTTCTCTGCTCCTGGCTTCAGCCTAGCCCAGTGCTGGTTGTTAAGGGCACTTGCTGCCTGGCCGGGAAATTAAATAAGAGAGAGCAGCAGTGAAGTGATTGAAATTCCTGAGCCCTACCCAGTTCCCCAAGCCCAACACTTGGGTGTCCTTGGCACCGCCTGGCCTGTCATTTCTGGGTCTTCAAATCCTGTTGCTCCTGTTGACAGTTCTTCCCGTCTTCCCACACATTGACAAGGGCCTGCACGTCCACCCTCGTCCTCTTGCCCTGGAGTTATGCTCCCAGGCCCCTCCCTGGTCGCTAGGCCTCCAGTGATCTTATCCTAGAATCCATCCTTGATCGGGGCCAAGGTGCATCTAGTCTGGCCGTGCACTCCCCTGCCGAAAGGCTTTCAGACAAAATCCAACCCCCTTAGGATAGGGTGCAAAACCCCATCCACGCCCAGCCCTGCTGCTCACCCAATCACGTCGGGGTCTGTGTGCTCTGACCAAGGCCCTCTCCTGGGTGCCACCTGCCTCCCCAGTCTCAGACACAGGGCTGCCTCCTCTGAAAGCCCTCCTGTATTTCCCCGGTCTGTTCCGATCTCTTCCGCAGCTCGACATACCCCAACACAGTGCATGTGATTGTCATTCTCCAGAGTGATCCAGAGCTGGCAAGCAGCTTGGCACAGAGCAGGTTTGCTGCCAAAGGCTGCCGGTGGAAGACAGGAGAGCCTGTGGCGGAGGCCCACTGCCTTCCATGTAATCCCAGCTAAGGGTCCCCACTCCCTGAGTCTCTTGGGCTCTCTCACTTTTGTTCTTTCTCCTTTCTTGCTCTCATTGTCTCACCTTTTGCCCTCTCTCTCTCTCTCTCTCTCTCTCTCAGTGTCGTGCAGTAGGCTGGGCTCCACATAACCCATGGCTCAGGGGAAAGCTTTTGTTAGCTGTACGGCCTGAGGGATCCCAGCATGGGTGGTCATCTCTGCTTTTGTTTGCTGCTTAGTGATCTTATTTTGGAGTTTCGATTTGTCTCAACAAGGCAGCATTTTCTCTTCTTACCTTTCGTGATGAGCTCTGGCTGTTTGGGACTCACTGTGTGGGGGTGAATGGATTTGCTATGAGTGGGTGTTGAAGGTGGGGTTCGTTATCACTGATCCCTTCTGGGGCATCTCTCTCCCTATTTTTGCAGACATGACAACCCTGATGGGGACATGCTTGGTAATTCTGTGTCGTCGTCCAAAAGGCCCCCACACAAAAGTAAGCCCCTGCACTTGGTTGCAGGTGAAAGCCCACCCTTGCCTTCAGCGTGGGAGAGGATGGAAAAGCTGCACTCTGAGCCCACCCTGGACGTGAAGAGGACAGGAGAGAAGAGCAGACCAAAGCCGGGCCTCATCGTGCGAGGCATGATGGCCGGGCCCACGGCCAGCTCCCCACAGGTGGGGCCCTTGTTCTTTGTGTTGTCAGACGGGGCTTCCAGTGCCGCCTGGGCTTGTGTAGTAGGTTCTGTAGGGTGGCCCACGGAGGGGCATCTCTATGGGAATGGGAATAATACTTGCCTGTTTTCTCCCTGGCTGTGCCGTGAATGCCCTGGGGGTCCCTGAGTAAGCCCCATCTCCTTCCCTGAACTCACTTTTACCTTCGTGTGGATGAGGTGGACACCACGGTTTCATATTCCCTTGCCGAGTGAGATCCCACCTGCTTGGCTTTGTCTTGGAACCTCAAGAGTGGGGGACCTAGTCAAGTCTAGAAGAGTCTTTCTTTCTTTCATTTAATGTGAATTTTAAAAAGCACACCAGTGGGGTGAGTGTTCACCATAGTGGCTAGGATGCTGGTTAAGGTGTCCATGTCCCATATCAGAGTGCCTGGTTCCATTTGTAGCGACCACTTCTGACCTCAGCTTCCTTACTCATGCAGTCCCTGGGAAGCAGCAGGTGATGCCTCAGGTAGTTGGGTTCCTGCTGCCCATGAGGGAGACCTGGATTGAGTTGCAGGCTCAGTTTTTGGTTTTGGCCTCCTGCAGGTTGTAGATACTTAGGAAGTGAGCCAGTAGATTGCTGTGCTCTCTCTGTAGTTCTCTCTCATTCTCGTGAACGCTCTCTCTGTCTCTCAAACAAATTAGCTAACAAAATACGATAATTAATTTTATTTTTATTTTTATTTTTTTTTATTTTTATTTTTTTTATTTTTTTGACAGGCAGAGTGGACAGTGAGAGAGAGAGATAGAGAGAAAGGTCTTCCTTTGCCGTTGGTTCACCCTCCAATGGCCGCCGCGGCCGGCGCGCTGCGGCCGGCGCACCGCGCTGATCCGATGGCAGGAGCCAGGAGCCAGGTGCTTTTCCTGGTCTCCCATGGGGTGCAGGGCCCAAGCACCTGGGCCATCCTCCACTGCACTCCCTGGCCACAGCAGAGGGCTGGCCTGGAAGAGGGGCAACCGGGACAGAATCCGGCGCCCCGACCGGGACTAGAACCCGGTGTGCCGGCGCCGCTAGGCGGAGGATTAGCCTATTGAGCCGCGGCGCCGGCCAAAATACGATAATTAAAAGGGAAGAGAATCTCAAGCCTGTAGTTTCATTTGTTATGCTTTTGTTTTCTTCTCTTTCAAAAAAATCACAGCATCATTGTTTTGTAGTCTTCTTTAATGGGGGACCATGGTAGGGTCCCATTAGATAGAGAGACCAAAATGAAAGAGCAAATGCAAATGGAGTTTGGAAAATAATAAACTATGCAAAAACCAGAAACACACAGAGAAAGCAAAATCAAATACCGAAGTGTAGTATCAGTCAATTCAGGGCGCCTGAGCAAACCACGAGTAGATCGATCGTCTGTGTGCACAGCTGGTGACTGTGTGCTCACTCACCCGCTGTGTGTGTATATGTGGCTGTAGATGCAGGCCATAGGTATGTTCTCCCAGTGTCATCTAGAATTAGGACGGAGACAGGTGGCCCCCTCCCTGCCTCGGCCTCCATCTTGTGGGATCTTTGGCTTTACCCTGGTCCATCCCCAGCTGTTGTGGCCATATGGAGAGTGAACCAGTGGATGGGAGATGGTGCTCTCTCCCTCTCTCTTTGTATCTCTCTCTCTGTCTCATTCTGATTTTCAAAGAAAAAAAATATTTTTTTTTGACAGGCAGAGTTAGACAGTGAGAGAGAGGCAGAGAGAAAGGTCTTCCTTTTTCCATTGGTTCACCCCCCAAGTGGCCGCTACAGCCGGTGTGTTGTGGCTGGCATACTGCGCTGATCTTCAGGAACCAGGTGCTTCCTCCTGGTCTCCCATGCAGATGCAGGGCCCAAGGACCTGGGCCATCCTCCACTGCACTCCCGGGCCACAGCAGAGAGCTGGACTGGAAGAGGAGCAACCGGGACGGAATCCGGCACCCTAACTGGGACTAGAACCCAGGGTGCCGGCACTGCAGGTGGAGGATTAGCCTAGTGAGCCGTAGCGCCGGCCAGAAACAAATCTTTAAAAAACATATTTCACATTAAGAAACTACCCCTTGTCTAGCTCTATCATAGCATTAAAGCTATAAAAAGCTATAAAATAATTTTTCATTTTCCAGCTGCATATCTGTGTGAGGCCGTATCTTCTGCATATGCTTTATCAAAACACCATAGTGCAGTGCATAAAAGCAGAAGGAAATATAAGACTTGAACTCTCTTCTAAGCCGAACACTGCAGAGGTTTGCAAAAAAAATGTCAAACTGTGCTACTCATCTCATTGATTTTCTGCTTTGGATGGAGAGTTCTTTTTTTCTTTAAGAATATGTTATGAGCCGGGGCCGTGGCTCACTTGGCTAACCCTCCGCCTGCAGCGCCAGCACCCCAGGTTCTAGTCCCGGTTGGGGTGCCAGATTCTGTCCCAGTTGCTCCTCTTCCAGTCCAGCTCTCAGCTGTGGCACGGGAAGGCAGTGGAGGATGTCCCAGGTCCTTGGGCCCTGCACCCGCTTGGGAGACCAGGAGGAAGCACCTGGCTCCTGGCTTCGGATTGGCGCAGCACGCCGGCCATAGTGGCCATTTTGGGGTGAACCAACGGAAGGAAGACCTTTCTCTCTGTCTCTCTGTCTCACTGTCTAACTCTGCCTGTCAAAAAAATAAAATTAAAAAAAGAATATGTTATGTTAAATGTAATGTCTTTTTATTTTTAAGATTTTATTTTATTTATTTGAAAGACAGAGTTACAGAGAGAGGTAGAGACAGAAAGAGAGGTCTTCCATTTGCTGGTTCACTCCCCAAATGGCCGCAATGGCCAGAGCTGCACCGATCCGAAGCCAGGAGCCAGGAGCTTCCTCCGAGTCTCCCACGCAGGTGCAGGGGTCCAAGGGTTTGGGCCATCTTCCACCGTTTTCCCAGGCCACAGCAGAGCTCTAGATCAGAAGAGGAACAGCCAGGACTACAGCCGGCGTCCATATGGGATGCCGGTGCTTCAGGCCAGGGCTTTAACCTGCTGTGCCACAGTGCCAGGTCCTGTAATGTTTTAACTACTATTATTTTTTAATGATTTCATAAATGTTTTTTTTTTTTAATTTTGGTTTTAATTTCTAATCAGTAAGTGTCAGTACAACCCACATAAATAAAAGCTCTTTGGACTCCTCAATAATTTTTTTAAAGATTTATTTATTTATTTATTTGAAAGGCAGAGTTTACACACACACACAGAGAGAGATACCTTCCATCCAATGAATCACTTCTCAAATGGCCTCAGTGGCCGGACCTGAGCTGTTCTGAAGTCAGCAGCCAGGAGCTTCCCCAGGGTCTTCCATGTGGGTTCAGGGGCCCAAGCACTTGTGCCATCCTCCAATGCTGTCCCAAGGCACATTAGCAGCGAGCTGGATTGCAAGTGGAACAGCCAGGACTCAATCTGGCACCTATATGGGATGCTGGCATTGCTGGCAGCACCTTAACCTGCTATACCACAATGCCAGCCCCTGACTCCCTAATAATTTTTAGAGTATAAATTATAGATCCTGAGACTACAGTGTCTCAGAACCGTTGATGTTGTTGGAACTCTCACCAACCAGGCCCTGTTCTACAGTGTCCCAACAGAAGGGGTACCTGGCTTCCCTTTAACAAGTCTAGTCCGTTCCAAAACAGCCTTCCCAATGTCAGCAACTGAGAGCTCCTCATACCAGCTCCCCCTACTGGTGCTTCTCTGCTTTCTGGCACTACCAGGCAGGCCTGTAACACTCAGTCCAACAAGGGCCGGCAAGCACCTGCCATACACTATGCACAGATATGAAGGGACTCCCACCCTGGAGAGTCTTAAAAGGCACATTAGCAGGGAGCTGGATGGGAAGTGGACAGCTGAGACTCGATCCATGCTCCAATATGAGATGCAGGCATTGCAAGCCATGGCTTAACCCATTGTGCCGCAACTATATTAATGAACTTTTGCTACTGTATCAATTTCCGCTCATCTCTTTTACAGCTGGAATATTTTACTTCTGCATGTTTTAGTAACAGGGTACATTGGTCCTTTGGAAAGTGCTGTCTTCCAAATGCAGACACAATTCATTTTCAAAACTACCCACTAAAAATCATATTTGTTGATGTTGCCACCCAATATTCAAGTTTTTAAGAATCGTGAAGCCCTCAAGGTCACAGTAGCAGATGGGAGTTTTCTTAAATTCCAGTTTTTACCTGACATCTTGTATTTTATCGTGGACAGTAGCACACCACTTGTTCTCCTTGAAGTGACAGGCTCAGTTATTTTCTAGAAAATGCCTGCCAAACACCCAAATCTGAATCATCATGGTTTACGATGAAACCGTGTATGCTTAGGTGGTTGCTAACCCCCCTCCACCCCCACACTCAGGAGAGTGCTTATATGCACCTCTCACTTGGCCACATGGAATAAAACTAGTGAGCTAGTGACCTCTGTGTGTCAGCACGGGCGTTCTTATGTGAGAGTAGAGTAGGCTTGGCAAGTGCGTGAGGCGTGTCTGCCCCACCGTGAGTGTGGTGCTGCTGCCCTGACTTCCTTTTTTTTGGACAGGCAGAATGGACAGTGAGAGAGAGAGACAGAGAGAAAGAGAAAGGTCTTTGCCATTGGTTCACCCTCCAATGGCCGCCGCAGCCGGCGCACCGCACTGATCTGAAGCCAGGAGCCAGGTGCTTCTCCTGGTCTCCCATGCGGGTGCAGGGCCCAAGTACTTGGGCCATCCTCCACTGCACACCCTGGCCACAGCAGAGAGCTGGCCTGGAAGAGGGGCAACCGGAACAGAATCCGGCGCCCGACCGGGACTAGAACCCGTGTGCTGCGCACAAGGCGGAGGATAGCCTAGTGAGCGCGGCGCCGGCCTCTGCCCTGACTCCATCACCGCTGTTTGGGAACAATCTGAGTTTCCATCTTCTCAGTCAGTGATGGCGAGGGAGGACGTTTCGGTTGACTACTTTGGATTTCCTTCATTTTGAGAGCCGAGCGGAACTCGGTGGTTACTGTGTGTAGGCTGCACAGCTGGCAGCTCTGCAGATCTGGAGATGAATGAACGGGCTGTGCCTTCCCTGAGCTACCATCAGGAGGGGGTTGGACCACGCAGGTGCCAGAGCAGCCAGCACTCATTCCCTGCTGTGAGGTCCCGGCTCTGTGCTGGTGCCTCATACCTGTCTCACTTCATCCTCGCCACAACCTTGTGAGAACTGAGTGCTACAGGACCCTCATGCCTCATTCCAAACCTTTGGGCCACATAGGTTTTGGAATGGATGTTGTTTGACTTTAGAAAGGAAGTACAGTGCATAAACCTCCTGCCACGTAGCACCTGGGATAAGGTTTGCAGTAGCACCCCGTAAGTAAAAAGAAAGAAGAAAGGGTCTGCAGCTAGACACATGAATGTTCAGACTCTAAAAAACCTGCAAGTAGGCCCAATGTCTGGGCAGCGGTTACGCCCCTGCTCGGGACGTCTGCATCCCTTATCGGAGGGCGTGGGTCTGAGTTCTGGCTCTGCTTCAGATCCAGCTTCCCGCTAATGTGCTCCCTGGGAGGCAGCAGGTGATGGTTCAAATAGTTTGGTCCCTGCCACTCACATAGGAGACTAGGATTGAGTTGCAGGCTCCTAGCTTTGGCCTCGCCCTGCTCCAGCTTTGTGGGCTTTTGAGGAGTGAGCGAGTAGATGGACAATCTCTCTGTGTTTTTTTTTAAAAAGTCTGGAAACAACCTCACAACAATTACAAATTTTCTGCAGTATTCCAAAAGAAGCTTGGATTTTTGGAGGCTTTGAATTTATCAGTGGCAGGTAGTAGACCAAGGACTGGTTGTGTGAGGGGACTTCAAAAGTTCATGAAAAATGAAACTAAAAGGTAAGTTTATCTCAAGGAAAGTATTTTGAAATCCCTGCATGTATTTTTCATGAACTTTTAAAAAAGATTTATTTATTTGAAAGTCAGAGTTACACAGAGAGAGGAGAGGCAGAGAGAGAGTCTTTCATCCACTGGTTCACTCCCTAATTGGCCACAATGGCTATAGCTGCGCTGATCTGAAGGCAGGAGCCAAGAGCTTTTCTGGGTCTCCCATGTGGGTGCAGGGGCCCAAGCACTTGGGCCATCCTCCATTGTTTCCCAGGCCATAGCAGAGAGCTGGATCGGAAGTGGAGCAGTCAGGTCTCAAACTGGTGCCCATATGGGATGCCAGCACTTCAGGCCAGAGGGTTAACCTGCTGCGCCACAGCGCGGGCCCCTCATGAACTTTTTTATTTTTATTTTTATTTTTTTTTTATTTTTGACAGGCAGAGTGGACAGTGAGAGAGACAGACAGAGAGAGAAAGGTCTTCCTTTGCCGTTGGTTCACCCTCCAATGGCCGCCGCTGCAGCCGGCGCACCGCGCTGATCCGATGGCAGGAGCCAGGATCCACGTGCTTTTCCTGGTCTCCCATGGGGTGCAGGGCCCAAGCACCTGGGCCATCCTCCACTGCACTCCTGGGCCATAGCAGAGAGCTGGCCTGGAAGAGGGGCAACCGGGACAGAATCCGGCGCCCCAACTGGGACTAGAACCCGGTGTGCCGGCGCCGCAAGGTGGAGGATTAGCCTATTGAGCCACGGCGCCGGCTCCTCTCATGAACTTTTTAAAAACCACTCATGTGCATGGATTTCAAACTTTTTTTAAAAAAGATTTATTTATTTATTTTAAAGGCAGAATTACAGAGAGAGGAGAAGAGGCAGAGAGAGAGGTCTTCCATTTGCTGGTTCACTCCCCAAATGGCTGCAATTACCAGGGCTGGGCCAGGCCAAAGCCAGGAGCCAGGAGCTTCTTCTGGGTCTCCCACATGGGTGTAGGGGCCCATGCACTTGGGCCATCTGCTGCTGCTTTCCCAGGTGCATTAGCAGGGAGCTGCTCGAATGAGCCCCCGTATGGAATGCCAGCATTGTACGTGGCGGCTTTACTGCTATGCCACAGCACTGGCCCCAAATTTCAAAATTTTTGTACCAAATTAAACTTTTCTTTAAGTTCCACTTTCCACTAACCTTTTGAAGTGCCCTCAGATTACAGGTGAGGATGTGAGGGACCAAGAAGTTAAATAACTTGCCGGCAGGTGGTGACCCAGGAATTAGGAACAGGAGCCACAGCTCTCCCTGCTACTTGAGTCCGCTCTCATGAAGGGGGATAGGGAGAGAGAGAGAGATCTTCCACTTGCTGGTTCACTCCCCCACGCATTAAGGGGTGTGAGAGAGGCTGCATGTGCTCTAGGGTCTGTGCAGGTGAGTGTGAGTCAATGACGCAGCACGGAGCTGGTGGCGTTTGAGCAGCGCCTCGAAGAGCAGATAGGGACAGAGCTGGGGATGGAAGAAGACTTTCGTGGGTGTGTGTGGGGGGGTGGTGAGACACCATGGGCGAACGCATTGAGTGGATCGGTCTTCTCTGCAGCTCCGCTACAGGGGGATCCCCACGGCTTTTGTCTTTGTCCCTTTCAGGATTCTTTCCGCAAACGGTCTCTGAGGCCGTCCCCAGCCATGGGCAGCGTGACCCCAGCCCAGGAGGAGGAGACTGGGAAGGTGCCTGAGCCCTGCACCCACCCTGCAGCCTGCCCAGCGCCACAGGACATCCTGGCTTTGGGCAGGGGCTCCGCCATCAGGAACCCCCTTGGTCAGCATAGAGAGCTGAAGACAGAAACGCGCCAAAGCACTCCCAGCAGCCCGCCCCACCTGCCCAGCACGGGGCTGCCCTGGCAGGAGAGAGCCGGGTCCAGAGAGCTTTCGGAGGGCAGCCCAGAGGCAGACAAGGCACGTCCGAAGTTCTCCTTGCCAGGCGGGAGTTCCAGGATGAGCCAGGAGAGGCAGGAGAGAGCCTTCCGGCGGCAGGGCAGCCAGCCCCCACTGCTCAGGTGAGCTCGCCCTGCGGAGGTGCTGGCTGTGCGACAGCGCCGCCTCTCCCCTGCTGCCCAGTCTCCAGTGGCCCCCACTCGCCCTGCTTTGGCTCCTTGGCCTCTCGTGGTAAGGCAGGGTCGATTCTGGCCACCTGGGAAGAAGACCCGGGAAGCCGTGGGGGAGGGGGGGTCTCCCTGGCCCTTGCCACTTGTTCCCAGCACCGAGGTCTTAGCAGAGGTTCTCACGCAGCAGGGCAGCCGCCTGGCCTGGCTGACACCGGTGAGCGGACTTTCCCGGGGATGCATCGACTCCCACAGGGCTCCTCCTGACGTTGTCTGCTGCTCCCCACCTCCCTGCCCCTTCGTGGTTGTACTTTCACAGTGGGTGTGAGGATTCCTACGTTGGTTGATTTCCCTGCTTCCGGGCCTGGAGCAAACCTCACTTGACTGTGCTGTTATCTTTGTGTGTGTCACTGGTTTTGGTTTACAAATACTCTGTGCGGGATTTTTGCGTGTAAGCTCACGGCGGCCTCACAGACTCCGTTATCTAGGCGGAGCCGGAAGGGGTCCCTCTTTCTCTGTTTTCTGCGAGAGTTCGTGTAAGGTTGCTGGTGTTTCTTCCTTCACTCTTTGGAAGACTTACAGGAAGAGAACTCTGAGCACCGAGTTGAAAGTTTTTAAGTATTCAAATATTTTTTTAGTTCAAGCTTTCTATTTTGCCAGTTTGGGCACACTTTAGTGTTTCAAGAATTGGGTCATTTTATCTATAGTTTAAATTTCTTGTCATAAAATTATATGATTATAATATTATTGACACATTAATGTTTGTTAAGTTCTGCAGTGATGTCTGTTTCATTCCTGATATTGGTAATTTTGTGTCTTATTGCTCAACTAATCTTGCTAAGAGTTTATCAGTTACATGGTAATTTCAAAGAACCAAATGTTGCCTTTATGTATTTTCTGTTTCACTGATTTCTGCTCTTTTTATTATTTCTTTCATTTTACTTTTTTTTTTTTTTGACAGGCAGAGTTAGACAGTGAGAGAGAGAGAGACAGAGAGAAAGGTCTTCCTTCTGTTGGTTTGCCCCCTCAAATGGCTGCCATGGCCAGCGCGGTATGCCGATCCAAAGCCAGGAGCCAGGTGCTTCCTCCTGGTCTCCCATGCGGGTGCAGGGCCCAAGCACTTGGGCCGTCCTCCACTGCCTTCCCGGGCCACAGCAGAGAGCTGGACTGGAAGAGGAGCAACCGGGACAGAATCCAGTGCCCTGACCGGGACTAGAACCCGGTGTGCCGGCGCCACAGGAGGAGGATTAGACAAGTGAGCTGTGGCACTGACCGTTTACTTTCTTTAAGTTTAATTTGCTATTAGTTTCTAGTTCTTTGATATGGATCTTAAATAACCAATTCCTAACTTTCTTCTTTTAAAACTACAAATGTTATATTCTTATAATTTAGTTAAAATAATTTCTAATTCTTTTCATAAATTTCTTTTTTGAGCCAAAGGTTATTTAGGCATGTACTGAATAATTCAGAACACTTGGGGGTATTTTTCTGATTGTCCTTTTATTTTTGATTTGTAGCTTATTTTTGGTCTGCTAATGTATGTATTGTGCCCTTTATGCTTTCTGTCCTTTCAGATTTGTTGTATTCTCCTATGGCCCAGTATATATTTGAAGCTTGTCTCTTATAATAGCATGTGTTTGGAAGTTTGTTCCCTCTGATACTTGTTTATTTTAGTGGGAATAATTATTGCATTTATGTTTCCTTTTTCTTGAAGAACTCTCTATAGTATTTCTTTAGTATATTGAATCTGAATTTCATTTCCAAGTGGTTTTTTGTGGGGGGGGCAGAAGGAGGAATGTGTTCACTATTTCATGGTTGTAGAAGTCTAGATTGTTTTTTTTTTTTTTTTTTTGGACTTTAAAGATGATTTCATTGCTTTAAAATTTTGTCATCTCTGTTGGTAAGTCAGTTGACTTATAGTTGCTCCTTTGAAGATAATAATATCTTTTTGTTTGTTTTTAAACCTCTGGCTGCTGTTTCCCCTCTGGCTTCTTTTAAGATTTTTCCTTTGATTTCCAGTGGTTTGATTATGCTATGCCGGGGTGTGGTTTTGTTTGAGTCTGTGCTTGTGATATGGAGAGCTTCCTGAAGTTGTGGATTGATGTCCTTCATCAGTTTTGAAAACCGTTGTCAATATCTTTTTAAAGCTGTTTTCATCCCAAGCTCTTTTTATGTTTCAAGAGACTTCAATTACAAAGATACAGATATTTTCACTTGTTTGTGTTTTATAGCTTTTTAATACTTTTAATCTGAGTTTTCCAGTTTTCTCTCTGTATTTCCATCTGGTTATTTTCATCTATTTTTCAGTTTGCCTTTCTTTTCTTCTCTCATATCTAATATGATTTTAAAATTTTAATAAATTCTTAATTTCAGTTATTTTATTTTTCCTTCTATTTATTTTAAAAGTAGATTTCAATCTTTTTGAAATTCTCCATCTTTTATTTATATATGTATGTTTTAAAGATTTATTTATTTGAAAGACAAAGTTAGAGAGGGAGAGACAAAGTGGGGGGGAGATCTTCACTTGCTGGTTCACTCCCCAAATGACTGCAATAGTTGGAGCTGGGCTGATTGGGAGCTTCTTCCGGGTCTCCCATGTGGATACTGGGGCCATCCTCTGCTGCCCTCCCAGGTGCACTACCAGGGAGCTGGATCAAAAGTGGAGTGACTGGGACTTGAACCAGTGCCCAACATATGGGACACTGTCACCTCAGGCCGTAGCTTTACCCAGTATGCCACAGTGCCAGCCCATCTTTTCCTTCATTTTCTTGAGTACGTTCATCATTTTAGCATCCCCATCTGGTAGCTGATATCTGGATCACCTTGAGGTTTGTTGCTGCCATCTATTTTTCTTAAAGAGTTTCGATCATTTTATCCTACTTCTTTGCATTTCTGATCATTTTGATTGATTCCAGACATTGCTCGTGAATAATTGCTAATACTATCTTTCTCCAGAAAGGATTTACATTTCTTTTAGTAGATTTTAAGTTTCACCTTTTTTTTTTTTTTTTAAATTTTTGACAGGCAGAGTGGACAGTGAGATAGAGAGACAGAGAGAAAGTTCTTCCTTTGCCATTGGTTCACCCTCCAATGGCCGCTGTGGCTGGCATACTGCGGCCGGCGCGCTGTGGCCAGCGCACTGCACTGATCCGATGGCAGGAGCCAGGTGCTTCTCCTGGTCTCCCATGGGGTGCAGGGCCCAAGCACTTGGGCCATCCTCCACTGCACTCCTGGGCCACAGCAGAGAGCTGGCCTGGAAGAGGGGCAACCGGGACAGAATCCAGTGCCCTGACCGGGACTAGAACCCGGTATGCTGGCGCCGCAAGGCGGAGGATTAGCCTAGTGAGCCATGGCGCCGGCCAAGTTTCACCTTTGTAAGATACCTTCTCTCCTTCCGTTGTTTGTCTGTTAACTTTGTCCATCATGCTTTTTGTTGAACAGAAGTGTTTAGTTTTGTCATAATCAGTTTCTTGCTTGGCATATGCTTCACATTTTTACAGTTTCCAGTGTCAAGTCCTTTCTTGCCTTTAGGGTGCAATGATAGTTGCCTATTTTTTTTCTCTTTATAGTCATAGCTTTAAGTTTATGTATTTAATCTTTTGTCTTTTGAAGATGAAAGGATCTACTTTAACTTTTCTCTGCAAAGTCAGACAGTTCTACCAGCACCCTCCTGTCTACAGTGGTTTTCTCCCCGTTGATGTCTGAAGCCATCTCTACTCTTTGCTGTGTTCTCTTATGGGCGTGGGTCTATCTTTGAGCTTTCTGTTAATTTCCTTGGTCTTTTTGTCTGTCTGCCTGCCTGCCTGCCTCTGTCTACGTACCTGTGTGTCTGCCTGTCTATGTATCCACCTGTCTAAAACCCTCTGACCACACGTTGATGACCGTGGCCTTGCTGTGCTGCCTTGGTGTGACCTCCCCTGCTACTCTCCTAGCGCTGGCCTCGCTGCACGCAGGTCGTGTTCTTCCTGCAGAGCCATTTTGTTTCTCTGCTGACCAGCGTATCCAGCTCGTTGCCTGTCTGCGCTGTGAAGGCCTTGTTCCCTAATCATCTCATAGCTGCCTTGTCATTTGGGTGCTCTGCGCTCAGCCTGCCCTCTGCTCTCCATCTCCATCCTGTTGGATTGTGTTCACAGCTTCTATCACTGTCTGCAATTATTTTATTTCTTTGCTGATCTCTTACTTGTTTCTTCCAAGTTCATGGGAGCAGGGGCCTTTGTATTCCTTGCACCTTATATTGTACCCAGGACCCAGCAGACACTCAATACAAATTCCTTAAGTATTGCTGCTGCTTCACTAATAACAACAAGAATGGCAGCAAGAAAATCAATAAATTGTTGGTATTGGCTTATTTGGCACAAAGTACCATTCTAGATATTTCAACTAAGCTTCCTCTTTTAGTTCCCTCAAGAGTTCTGTGAGGGGCTTACCATTATAGCCCTCATTCTGTAGATGAGGGATCTCCCTCTGAGGCAGCACTGTGTTGGCTCAAGTTTGCACATGCAGTACGAGTCAAAGCAGGGTCTAGTGACCACATGGTGAAGGGTGTCCTCTCTCCCCCTGAGTCACATTCTTTCCACGGCCTTTAGAAGGTGACCGGCTTCAGCCTGAACACCTCCAGTGATGGGAGCCCTCTGCTTCCCACGGCACTTCTGCATGACTCCCTTAGAAAAGTCTGCCTCGCGCCGAGTTCAAATCTGTGTGCCTGTAGTTTGATTTGAGAGCCTTGTTTTGCTAGTGCCAGAACAAGTTTATACCAGAAAAGGGGCGGGGAAAAAAGGCCCTCGGCCAAATGGGTGGCTGTGTTCTCAGGCCGGAGAGAGCCAGGATGGGTAGAAGAGGCCTGGGCTCTGCAGCCCTCTCCTGGTCCTCACTCACTGGACCTTGCTTGGGCGATTTCCTGTCTGCCCTAACCTTGGATCGGACCACCAGGTAGATTTGCAAGCGTCCTTCAGGCT